TGAGAAAACAGTAACACCAATTTGTCAATATTACTTTTTAATCTATGTATGGCTTCTGTAGAAAGTGATATATACTGCGTTTTTCTTACTAAGTATAACAATTTTGCTGTAAGTTTTCTTTATAAAAGAAGAAAAGCCACTTTATTAATATACCACTTTTATTATTTTATTCTTTTTCAGCTTAACTGTAAATAGCCCGCATCATTACTTATGCAGACACAACATTTTGGAAGTTTGCTATTATTTGTTTATTATTAACAGAGTATTATCGTTAATATCTTCTCTCATATACATTATGCACCTTCAATCAAACAAAGGCAAGCCTACATACAATTTGTCAGTGCATCATTTATGTCATGCATGCCTCTTGTAAGAGCAGGTATGATTACAACTAACGTAGTCTGCATCAAGTTAACTTCCCTAAAATGCTGAGATTAAAAAAAAAGAGAAAAAAAACCACATTCATTATGTTGCAGCTATGAGTTTTTGTGCTGAATAAGAAAACATATACATGTGTAAGCAGTATTATAATGGTTGTAATTAGTTCTGCAATAAGAAATGTGTTAAAATTTACTGTTCTTTATCATCTGGAAAACCCTTTCTTCTGAAACATTATATGTGGTTCTGTGAAGCACAGAACAAGAGAGACTCCTGCTGGCTCAGACCCTACAGAAATTAACAATTTTTTTTATTAACTTTCTTTTTTCCATTCTTTACATACTTACTTATTCATTTGTTCTATAATAGTACCCTAAGGCTTTGAAAATGACTGAATTTGCTTGGCACTGCCCTTCAGCTCAAAAAAGCTGACTATTAGAAATTTTTTAAAATGTCTGAGAAAAATAAGTAGAAGGAAGAGGAAGAAAAGAAGCTGAGGATACATTTGTACAATCACATAAACTATTTTCCAGTGCAGTCTCTGTGGTCCTAAAATGTCTGGAATGAACTATGAGGCTGCTTATTCAGTACATGCAGCTATTAGTGTAGCAAATGGTTATTTGTTGTAAATATTCTTGTTATCTATCACAAAAAATGCTATGCCAAACTATGCTGTATCAAATGATCAAGAAATGTACAGTCCATAAACTAATCTCGCTCAGGTTAATTCCAACCTCAGGTTAAATTCTAACTTGATATGAATAAGTATTAGGGGTAGCAATCATATTATTACATGTAATAATGTGTTGTTGTGTTAATGTGATGTTTTTCCCACAGGATATTTGCTTTGCTGTGTGTACAGGATGATGGTCATTGTGCTGAGATTGAGGCAGCAGCCGCTCAATATTCCTTTTCATCCTCTTCCTTCAATATGTGCCTACCTACTATGCAAACCCTGCAATAAGGAATTATTCATTTCCTCTTGGGCTTTTTTATAGTGCTCATCTCTGTATCCAAGGGCTAGATCCTTAAAAGGATTTAAGGGCTAGATACACAAAGGTATTTAATATCCAACTCTGAGTTAGCATAGTGGGAACTAGACGCTGAAAAGAAACACTGCGGTATCTTCGAGGATTGCAGCTCAGGGGTCTGAATGTCCCCTAGAGTAACCTGTACTGCACACAGAGGCAGTGAAAAGAGACCCAAGCAAGCCCCAACCCCCGGATGATATTTCTAAATCAAGGAGCAAAATGCCATAAAAATATGGTAGTTGCACCCTCTAAAATTAGCACTCCACCTGAGCAACTAATTCCTAGTTTTCAGGAGGATAAGTAATCCCAGTAAGTCCTGGTTTTGGAGTTAATATGTGTTTCTATCCCTTGGTGTTTTTTACACGACAAATGTTTCTTTAGACACCCCAAGTCCAAAATTCTTGAACCATCTGCTCAGTTGCCATTCAAACCTTGAGTTGCCTAAACCTCATTTGTAGTGTTTTTGAGGGTGCTTAAGCATCCGCTTCTGAACATGCATCAGATTATTGTGTTTCAACAGCACTGAACAGCATTGATCCCTTGCCAACTTCTCATCCATCACTGGGTTAAAATTAAGGTTTGGACCATTATGTAACCTATAGTAAAAATACAAAAAGTACTCTCAAAAATAGTTAACCTAACAGAAAATAATGGGAGAATAAGAATCTCCTCTTTTATCCAATAAGTCTGTAGCTGGAGATTCTTCTGGGAAATGGAACATCCTCATTAAAAATCCTTCTATGTAAGGGGACTTTGACACACATTTTCAGAGGTATTGAGCACTTCTGGCTCCCACTGATTTAACATTACAGTTGCCGAGATGAAACATTTTTGAAAATAGATTTTATGTACTTCGTCTTGAAAGATGCACTTCTGAGTATGTTAAAGCACAGGGAAAAACAACAGTGATTTGCCCAGTATTACCTTTGCTAAGGAGTTTACCACAGAATCCATTTTGCAGAATATTTCCAGATCTTCCTTGAGTTCTGAACCATCCTCTCTCTTGCTCTCCTTCATCCTCTATGTCTTTCCCATCTTCTAGAAACAGGATAGTGACTTCCCTGTCACATACACACTATAGGCAAGAAGGCAGCAAGCAAAAAGAGAAAGAAGATATGATATCATGCAGTTAAAGCTGGGATTAGAGCACATGAGAGTGTATAACTTCAAATGATGTGTGACAGCCGTACCATGAGGCACGTCATAGGCTCAAGAGAGTGAAATAGGACTCAAGTAGTCCCTGAGGTCATGTCTGTTTCACTGAGATGGCTAGAAGCCTTCATCTCAATGGGGGACACCTCCACGCTCCTGCCACTGGAGCAACCTGGGCACTGGGTGAACTTGTTGGGGGAAAGCTTGCCCGTCCCACCATCCAGTGCGCTGGGGAGCCCCGGGGCGCAGAGCACAGCTCCCTCAGATGGCAATGGGATCCCAGCCCTGCCACAATGCCTGGTTGCTCCTCAGCTGAGCTGTCTAGCGCAACCACATCTGCCATAATCGTGAATTTACCAAGCTGGCAGAGGATAAATCAGAAAAAGAGCCCAGAGGAAGGTAAACATGCTGAAATATCTTGTGCTACGGGAAGAGGTTTTGCCTGTCCAGGGGCGCATTGCTCCTGATTGATGGTGAAGGCAGTGGGCCAATTTTCTTTCAGTCTGATGCTGCTAAATGGATTTTTGCCAGCTGTGTTAACCCAATTGGTAATTTTGTTTTGTAGGCATAACTGCACCTCGATTTACTACAGTACATTATTTCTGAATAATTATTGGCTGTTCTATTATTTAATATTGCCAGCTTTTTTAGCAATCATCTAAGTGTTAACACTGTCTTCTGCCTACATGGGCTAGGCTAATTTTCAGCTACTTGATAACAATAAATTATAGAAGGCGTGACGGAGAATCTGTGTTTTCTTACTGCTTGACAACTTGTGAAGTGGGAGCCAAGGACAGAGGGAGGCGGAGAACTCCTGTAGCAGAAGCAGGAAATCACAAACAGTTTCCTCTGAAGCCTAAAGCAGACAAGAGTAAGGGTACTTGCAATAGACAGCTGTCACCTACTTGAGTACATTTATGTTGCCTTGCCCTGCTGACATGGGAGGGGCAAATGGGTTCAGAGAACTCAAGTCTATATTTAGGTTTGTAATAATATGATATTTAGAGCTTCAGCTTAGTGTTCAAAGCAGAACTGAAGCTAAATCAATTTTGCCACTTGAAAGTGTAGTGGAGTCTTGATGTATTGAGTTGAAAACACAGATTCAGGCAGGAAGAGGAACTCATACTCTCTTGGGAGTCAGGGTGGTGGCAGGAGGTACTGTCCTTTGTTCCTTTCCCATCGTCAAAAGACAAGAAGAAAGAGGTTCCTGGTCTTCTCTCAGTTGTTTCACTCCTCATTTCCCAGAGGAAGCACAGGCAGATGAATCCATTCAGCAGTGTGAAGAAAAGGTTTTTGCGATTTCAGTATTGCCATAAATACTTTAGGACTTACAGCAGCAAACTGATATTACAATAGCAGGTGGCAAGAAGCACACTTGACTTTGCTAAGCCAGGCGTCAGTAAAGAGCTAAGCTGAATTACCTGTAAGTAATCATTAATCTCACAGTTTCAAAAGCAGTGTTTACCTTTTCTGTCTACAAAATTGTTTGGGCAATGCAGCCAGGTTCATTAAGTAAAAGGTAACTGAGTTTATATTTCATAAAAGTGACTTTATTTACAGAACCCTTTCATGTTAGATTACTTACAAATATTTGGCCACATTTACAGACAGCCATTATTGCAACACTTTTTTAATTTTGCACAAGTACAGATAATAACAGCAAAAACTATTTGTACAATTGCTAGAGTTGTTTAAGTGTGAAAATAAACCTGAACTAGGTCTTTATATAAACAGGAGATAACATCTGCCATCTGAAAACTTCTTAAAAATACACAAAAAATATAAGCACATTTTTCTATTGCAACTCCTGAGGCTGCTCATCAGAACAAAAAGGTGTGAAATACGTGTTCAAAACTCAGTCTGGATATAACCAATAATAGCTTTACTGAAATAAAATGCTACATGTGCTTATTAATCTTTGCCTTGCTCTGCATTAGGACTTTGAACTCAGACTTACTTTTCAGCAGAGCTGTGAAAGTTAGGTAGTAAACGTTATTGCTAGAGAAAATGCAATGACGTATTTGTTTCTGTATCTGGCCTGGGGGGACTGGCACAGCTTTTCACGTTAATATTTTTGAAATAAATTAATCATAGCAGCACTGATGCCAGCATAAATATAGCACTCCCTTACTTCTGCCTAGAATATGCTAACTGTACATTTCTTGCTGATGAATATCATATTGCATAATAAATATGTAAAAATTTCAGTGAGGCATCCATTCTTTTCAGCATACTTCCATACAGAAGGCATCCTCGAAATGTAAAGCTTCAGTGTTATTAAGAAAGAAATCATATATGTTCATTGAAAAGGTAGTATAATTGTTTTGATATACAGTTTCTGAAAAAAAAGGCATTCCAACATTATCTTTAATGTGGTTGAAAATACGTAACTGTTAAAATAAATAGATTCTCCACACTCAGTTTAAGTAGCTTGTTTGTCTACAAATAATATGGCCAGCATTGACAGGACAGCTTGGAGAGAACAGTGCTACTGAAGATGACTAGAGTGACAGAATCTAGTCCAAAAGGATTGTACTTCGATGATCTTCAAGTGTTTTTGTGCTGAAGCAAACTTTTCAAGTAAATTAAGGTAAAAACTTATTTGTAATAATTTTTCTCACCTTATGCATGTTCTGTCCATGCATGGTAATCTCAGTAATATTGATGTAGTTTATATTTAGAAGATGTTGTACTTCCTTCTGCATCTGCACATTCACAGCTCATCTTCTCCTGCTTAATCCTGTAAAACCCTAAAATAAATATGAAAACATAAGATCTGTAGTGATCTGTTCTGTTCCGTTTGAAGCACAGCATTAGGGAGCAAGAAGAGAAACTGGAGAAAGTAATTAATAAAACTCAGTCTTCACAAAAATAAAAAGTGATTGGTGTAGCTTTTTAAAGAGTCAGCACAGACTAAATACAAATTTTTAATATCCTGGGACATAACAAATAACAGTTCAAATAGCAAATCTAGTTTCATACCAATTGTTTTCCATTATGAACCTTTATATTTTGTTTGCATTTTGAAACAAAACAAAACAAAAAAAAAAAAGATTCAGTTGTGGAAAACAGATGATTCCATGATCATTTGCACTTTGTGCAATGCAACTTTTACAGCCTGGATATTAAAATAAAATAATAATTAGAGGAAAGAAATACTCTTTCATTCTACTTATTGTACTGTATTAGTGTATACAGTTCTTTAAAAAGACTGCCCACATCCTGCTGCAGATAAATAACCATTTGATAAATGAGTTTAACACACAAATGTCTGCCTGAGATAAAATTCCACCTGAATTTCAGGCAGGCATTTGTGTATGAAATCCTTTTATCACATTGTCTAAGCTAGGATGTGACCAGCTCTTGTTACATGGGAAAAATAGACTTCCCATTAGTCCTTACAACAAATTGTTTGTGAATTACAGAAAAGAAAATAAATATAACTAAAGAATTTATGAATAGCAATGAGAAACACAGTGATACTTTTAGAAATAGATTGTTAGTTTCAGGACACAGGCATACATAAATATATATGCAGAAAATAGTGCCTTCCTGGCTACCAAACTGTTAATCCAGTTCTCATTTCACAGGAGAGCAGAATAAGTGGGCATGCCATTTGTTTTAAAAAAATAGTTCAAAGCCCACTTCCTCAAAATAGGAACTTCTTAATAGTTACAAACTAGGTTGTTTTCACACGTGCATGCTATCATTTTGGGGGACACTCCAATGTCACTGTCATCTGAGGGTGACTGAATGACTAAGACTGCTTGGAATTTGCCCAAATGTTGTTTTTCCGGAATTAATTTTCACATCTAAACCCATGAGTAGTTTTTCTGAGATGCTAAGCAGATAATGTGAGAGAAGGACGTATTGCATTTTATGGTTTCCCCTTGTCAAAGAAAAGTTTGCGTATTTCCTGCTTATATATACTTAGCGTAACTACTAGCATCATAAAGATTTATTCCATTTTTCAGCTCTTCTATCTTTACTATAACAAAGCAATGCAAGTACTTCAAACATGTGAATAAAGGCTGATTTTTTAGAAGCTGCTATTACACAAAAAAGAAAAAGCATATAGGTGCAAAATCAGAATATCATGTGCCTCTATTATTGCAGGAGCATGTCAGATACTCTTTTTGACACCAGCAGCGAGGGGAGTACAGAATCAAAGACTGCAGCGTGTTTTAATGTATCTCTACACACCCCTATGTAGTGTGATCTGACTGAAAGGCAACCGAAGTTAACAGACACAATGCCACTACCTTCAGTGGCCTTTGGATTGGTTCATATATCCTTTTGATGAATGAGTTAAAAATGCACCCAGTATAAGCTACAGGTATTCACGATATTTAACTCTGACCCTCCCTTAAAACAGATAGATAATTCACAATTTTAACTCTACAATTTCAAATTTTAACTCTTTGGTTTCTACTTTTCATGATAAAAATAATGATAATAAAAATTTATGTGCACAGAAGGAAATAAAGGCTGAGAATCTCTGTAACTGAATGAATGTTAATAAGTCAAATTCTTTTGGAAACTGGCATTCACAGATTCAGAATATATTTCTGTAGGCTCTTACAACAAATGCTTGGAAGACATGAGTAGTTTTTTAATTCCTACTTCAGGTTAATACTGCCTAACATTCTGGTGATAAAAATAAAACTGTTTTGAATGTGAATGTTGTGGGTTACTACTGAAAATATCAATTAGAAAGGAAAACCATATTTCTGTCTGCTGTTGTAGTTTTAGTTATACACATGCTTCTTATGGCTACTTTTCTTCAGAACTTTTAAGGACTGGAAAATTTTATTTTGCTGTTGCTGTTTCTGCTTTTTTGCTACATACTTTAAAGCATTCCTCAGGGGACTTCATCTTGCCCGACAGTTTTATCGACTGCTAGGTGTCCTAATTTCTTCATTAGCTCTTCTGATGTGATTAGCCTTACTATTTATTCTTCTTCCTCCCCTGAGAAATTTATGTCTGCTTATTACAGGTGTCCTTCATCACCCTTTTTAAACATTGAAGCAAACCTTCTTTTTTTAAGCAATATATACCTCTTTTTGACAATAAATTACCCTTGCCATCTTTTGAAGGGTGTGCTGTTTCTCCTGCTGACCTCTTGTTCCTCATATACTTGAAAATTTTCTTCTTAATCATAACCTTTTGCGTAATCTTCCTTCCACCTTTGTTTTTCCTTTACACCTAATTTCATTCTGTGATCCTTTCTTTTCATTATTCTACTTAGTGTTTTATACCACTTATATAGCTCTATTTTACTCTTGATTATTTTGTCTGTATTAAAACCACCTAGTGCTTTTGGTGAAGGTGTGTGTTGAGGGGGGTGCTTTTTTTTTTTTTTTCCTACTCCTAGATAAGCTGCATCTACACTGTTTATAATCACATTTTCAAAAACTTTCCATTTTCTCTGTGTCCTTTAACCATTACTTTAATCTACTCTTTTGATGCTTGTTTTGAAGACTGGACACCTAAAACAGGTTTTAGGGATGGTATTATTGCCTTTCACTTCTAACCAGAATCCTTATTTTAGCAAAGAAGTAACTTTACAGTTTAAGGTGCAATTGTGCTTCCTTCTTTTAAATTAGCAGTTTATATCTGGGTAGAAAAACGGTCAATGTGATTAATAAGTGTCCAAATACTAATTGCAGTAAAGAAGGGAAAATAGGAAAGCTTATCAAACCTAGTTTCCTGAGTCCTAGTTGCTAAACTCTGGTGCATGCTATTCAAAGTCTTATTTCCAGACAGTTTACGAATGCCAATTTGATGATATTTAAACCAAGACCACCAGAAAACTTGGAAGAAAAACCTTGACTGTTAAGATTGTTTGGGAGTTTTCTCTGAAATGTGAATAGTATTCCAGAAATAATATATCCACTCTGTGCTCTTCTGTGCTAGGAAATGAACTTGAGATGTACAGAAGTATTCACGTGGAAAAAGTGTTCTCAACAATACAGTTCTTATCTACCTCATCGGGCTCACATACAGTTTTGCAGGACACACAAATACATATACACATTCACTTTAAAAAACAGCAGTTTATTTCAAAGAAATTACTTTCTTGCTTGTCATAAACACCAGGAAAGATCTCTGATTTTCTGTCAAGGTATAATGTAAGTTATATGACAGCAGTGTTTCCCAGGGAGGTCCATCCTAATCACAGCTTCGTTCATCCATGTCAACATTCAATTTCACGTTCTGCAAGAATCATAAGAAGATAAGTTTGTGTTATTACCTTAGGCAAACAACTTTGGAGTTTGGCAAGAAACTATAAGAAAAAATATTACTGCTTCCTGAGAATCTCATTTTGCTTTCGACATCTTAAATTTTAGCAAGAGCACTCCAACTCTGATTTCAGACTATAGCACATCAACTCTCGATATGACTATAGCACTCAACTTCCCTGATTTCAGACTATAGCACATGCACAAATTTCCTAACATAGACAGGAAATATGTGTACTCATTCCTACACAGTTCATCTATGTCTGGTAAAGTTCTTCCACTAAAGAGAAAACAAATATTGTTGTTTTTCCAAAAAAGTCTGTATAATAAATCAATCACAGAAAAACTAACATAATTTCTTTTAAAAAAATGTGCCTTTCTAACTTAAGGTATGTAATTTTAGTTGATTTTTTTTTTTTTTGGCTGAAGTGGTAGTGGAAATTTTCACCATTCTGTCAAGATATGTGCACTTATGGGAGCTCTAACCTTCCAATGTCCTTTTTTTTGGTCTGATATGGCTATTGAGTAAGATGATTTCTAGGACATCCTTTGAAAACAAAGACACCAATAAAAGAGGCATGCAGCTTTGCATCTAATTAAAATGCCATCACTCAAAATATAGATACATAAGGATTAGTTTCTCCTTTAAAATTAACTTAAGAACACAAGAGGAACTACAGTATATGGAGTTCTTAAGTTAGTTCTTCTGAGTATGGTAATAGCTCATAACAGGTGAAGATGCAAGATATATTGGTTATTTTATTTAGATCTTACCCTTATCCACTTTTAGAGTTGCCACAGTTTCTAGTCCCATAAAACATTACAATGTCTTTCTCTGTGTGAAGATTAAAATGAAAAATTAATTGATTTTCATTCTGTAGGAATCTCCAACTACAAATATTTGCAGTTGCTTATTGAAGAAAAACTTCAGGGAGAAAAAAACCAGTTAATTCTCAACATAGGAAAGTTAATCTAACTTTCTGATGACTGAAAAATCATGCTGTGCTCAATTCAGGAAATATGGATCCACAATACTATAGTAAATGATTGATTGATACATTTGTATTTAACAATCCTTCTGTTTAGAATTAGGACTGCAAGCGGTTCATTTTGCTATGTTAAACTTAGTGGCTTGATCCTGCAAATACTAACAGAACTGAAAAGTTCCACTGAATGTAATGAGAATACAAATGTTAGTAAAGTTACTTGCCTGAATATATGTTTGCTGAATTGGGCTGTAACATCTCAATATTCAGAGCAGAGCATGTTCAGTTAGATATGTGATCTATTCTAATGGGACTCATGCTGCTAAATCTCTCTGAGTCCCCTTGAAAATAAAGACATGGAAGAAAAGGTATTTGAAGCTTTTACTTATAATAGTACCATAGTTGTTATGATGGATAAATGGCTTAAACGTTTTTACCTTTTTCATGAGTAGACCTAAAACTACTTTGTCCCTTTCCTACCCAGACACAAAAATATTTTTGCAGTGGAGAGGTTGTTCAGTTTTCTAGAAATATGCCTTTGCATGGTGCAAATAATGTTTATATTTTATAAATCTATACTAAAAATTATTATAATGTGTTTGGGATTCACACAGGTATTTTTAAGCTATGTACTCTATATGGGTCATAGAATTTGTCATCTCATTTAAATTAATACAGTGTTTATCATTATAAATCAAATACCTTTAAAGATAAAGATTAAGGTAACGGCCTTACCAATACAGGTGAAGCATTACTTTATCTAGGCTTCTGTATATCCTCCTTAAATAATATCAGTCTGTGATGCCTCTTAAATAAATAATTGATTTTGAGGAAAAGATCTTTTCATGTTTGGAATGTACTTACAACTCTTTGGCCTTCCAGCTTTTCCAGCCAAGTGGCTCAGGTTAACTCAGCAAAGAAAACTTTTGGACATTATTTTGTTATGTTGCCACGGTTCTGATATCCTAGTATCTAATTCATTTACTTCAAATAGTCTCAATAATATTGAAACCATAGCAGCTGACATATTTATCTGGTTTCTCTAGCCATTATTAGATATCAATACTATCTGCTATTCTGCACTATTTTTAACATAGGTACTTGAAACTGCAGCTTTTAGGGCTGTATTCTAACTTTGATCTTGGAGATGCAGGCCTCAATAGCAATGAGTTTGCCTGTTCTTCTTATAGAACTGATGAACTGCAGATTATTTCAGCAATATTGTCCACCTGTGCCGTTTCCTTAACTACAACTCAGCTGATGTTATCAGTCTCCTTATATCTAAAACAACTTACTTCTCGGCACTTCTGAGCACCACCACCCATATAAAGATAAATTATAACAATCCTCAAAGGCATACAAAACGCACATGCAGAAGTCACACTTTCAGATACATTGGCCATATTTCCCCTTTTACCTTTTCACTGTTTTTAGTCCCTCCATTTAGATAACACAGTCCTACTGTTGTTGCTGCGGAAATCTCTGTAGTTTTCACCTTCTCAAGCAGATTACTTTTATTTCTCAGTCTACTTTCTCATTCTAATTGTGTAAAATTGACCTCACCCTACATGTCTTTTCAAATATAAAACATAAATTCCACAGCAGTAAGAGTAAGTCTTGATCAAGATACATAGTGAAATGCACTTCATTTCCTTCTCCCTAGCATCTTAATAGTTCAGCTTTGCAAGGAATTTTCTTTCGATGAGTTCATCTCTTGACAGTAGTATTCTAGAAAATAATTAGTCTGAGAACTTTTCTCAGAATATTAGAAAATGCTGCCAAAACACAAATTTTGGACTCAACACCATGAATATTTGCTACAGAAGTATAATCCCAGGAGTTTCTTTAGTTAAAGAATTTAGTTAAGCTTCTTTAGTTAAGGAATTCAAAGAATTACGTAACTGAAAACTTTCATTTAACTCCAAGGTATTTATTCTCCCTGAGTAAAACCCAGAATAGATCAGGCAACAAAGAGCACACATTCAATCCATGCGTTTCCCAACTGCGTGATACTCATTGAGCCAGACAGGATCTGCCCTCGTCCTCGTCACCAGATACAAATGTATACGTGAGGATGTTGAAAGGAACACTGGATATATGATTTTGTGCTCTGTTATTCCCTTCAACTCAACTGCAAATAAAATGAAAATGCATGAAACAGAGTTAAAATTTCTGACCCTTGCAAAGACTGATCACAGGCAGCTGGTCCATCAAGTTACAGAGCAGCTTTTGTATGTGCAAAGCCAAGGAAGCCCGAAGATTTTCCATAAGAGGAGCAGCCAAAAAGGAGAAGGTTGTCTTTTGGACAAGGCCCTATAGTTCAGGAAGAAAAGAATGCTTTGCATTTCTGTATTTTCAGAAGACTTGGGGAAATTAAATCTTTAAAATCACTTAGCATGTCATCATTCCTTGAGGGCATCATAAATTGCTTCAGTTGGATTTCTTTGAATGTGTTTATGCAGTTCCCTTTTCATAGTCACCACTGATTGAAAATGTGCACTTATCTTTTAAGATAGATATTTCTGTTGCTGCTGTTTAGTATTAATAAATTAATTATTACTTTATCACATATGTCTATATTACTTTCAGATATTGAAATGAAATAGCCACATGAAGACATGAATCACTTGTTAAAAAATGCTCCTAGCAAAGTTAAAAACCTAAAAAGAAGCTTTGAGAAATCTGGATGTGAGGAGATATAAATGACAAATATGTCTGCTTTCTGTGTAAGCTATTTCTTTACGTTTCAAAATGTTGATGGAAAGTTTTCTACATAGTTTGCAAATTATTCATGTTCCAAAAGAGAGATGCAGAAAGACAAGTGATGACTAGGTTATTTTTTAGGAGAACACCTTCAAATGTTTAACATGTTAAACTTATCTGTTTGTAAGGCTCTTTTTTATTATTTAATTAAAATTCTAGAGAGAAATATTGTTAAAGAGAGACTATAATAGTCTAGTGACTAAAATGAATACATTTACTCTAACATAACTTTCCTATTTTCATTTAATGAGATCACAGTATGCCTCTTCAGATCTTCTGGGTATTTAGACCTATAAAAACAATGGGAAGGTCCAGTTCAGCATAATAGTCTAAATCCTCTTCTTCTCACAGTAGTTTCCCGTTCTGACACTACAGTATCTCTTTCTGGAGTAGTAGCTGATGACAGAACTTTGCAAGTAAGCTTTCTAGAAAAAGCAGAAATCAGTAATTCCAAGAATGAACTTATTTTAGGTACAACTTGTTTTATTTACATAATGTACTTAGAAATGTGAACTAAGGAGAATCCCTTTTTCAAGAAGACCGTCAAATTGACTGCAGAGAAAAGGGATCATCTTTCCTACTATCTGTACCTTGCCTTTTACATAAAATCTTTTGTGACAAAACATTTATTGCACAGTGTGTTTGTGCCACAGACATTTATTGCACGGCTTAAAGAGACGTTTGCTTATGCGATGAAGAATTTAGAAGCTATCTATATGCTGTTCTAGCACTGTTATGCCCCCTCAACATATGGTGGGTTGAGATGATGACTACTAATTTTATGAACAAACAAAGATGGATTTGCATATGAAATGATGAAGCATTAGTGGTGCGAAGGGAGAACTGACAAAAGAAATATATGACTCATCGGTAAACTTAGCTGCCTTGATTATTATGATTAATGCAGGTGTGAGAAACATTCCAGCCACCAGAATTCAAAGCAATATTTCCATGTAGGAATTTTTCCACGATGTATTCATATTAATGTTTACCCATACTGATGTTATCCCCTCTTTGGCTGCACAAAGCATATCCAGTATGCCCCTGGATACTTTCCACGTGGTGGTTTCTCATAGATTTCCTCTCCAGGGTTTCCCTGAACACTGTCCCACTTTGACCCTCCTTTGATATCAGGACTGTGCCCATTCCTCCCCTGCAGTCTGACTACTCCCATCTATCATAGGTGTCTACACGCACTTTTTCACATATAACTTTCTTATTTACCTCAATCTCAGAACTGCAGCACACAAAAAAAAAGAAAAAGAAAAAGAAAAAGAAAAAGAAAAAGAAAAAGAAAAAGAAAAAGAAAAAGAAAAAAAGAAAGCCTTTGGAGAAGGAAGAGCTAAAAAAACCAACATCCTACAATTTGTGCTGCTATAATTGAACTTCCCCTACCTGCTCCTTGGAAAAGGAGGTGGAACACGGTTGATAATCCAACTAAAATTAAAATTCCTCCGTCTGAATGGAGGAATATGAATTCATATGAATTCATATTCATATGAGTTCATATGAATTTTTATACTAAAATTCAAATCTGCAAGTAATGAGACCTTTTAAATGTCACTTAATACACAATAGCCTTTAATGTAACTTGCATATTATCTTTTTCAATCAAAAAAACACCTAAAATCTGTATTACTGCAGCATCTTAACATACTTGCTTAATATTTTTGTCTTTATTACTTTTTCTTTTAAAACCCTGAGCCATGTGATTCAGGATACAATAAATTCATGAAACACAGTGAGGGAACAAAGTAGGAAGGCATTTTATTTAACAGTGCTTTTTTTTAAGAAGTTTTATCTTGCTTGTTAAAGTAAGATGAGAAGTTTTCTATTAACTAGGCTGGGAAGCCTTAGGGGCCACTGAAAGCTTTTTAATTGCATATTTAATTAGAAATGTGCTGGAGAGCTGGTGTTCAGCTTTTCTGAAGCTCATGGCTCCTGACAAAATGTCTGCTTTTAAGCCATTTTGTCTCTTGAAATGTTTTCTAAAAAGTAGGTTAAACAGAAAAAGCTTTAATTTTGGCTATTTTCACTTCAAAGGGATTGCATTGTTTTCTCAAACCTACTATAAAACCAAGGTGAAATGACATCTTTAAAAGTAAGCGTTTTCAGGTAAAATAAGACTTCTAAAAGACCAATCTTTAAGGTGTCTAACAGTTTATTGTTATTCTGCCTAGCTCACCAGCAAGGCTGGAAGATTGAAGAGAAAAGAAAGAGGAGGATTATGTTTGACCGCTACAGGTATATAGTTTTCAAAATCTACTGTTTATCCAGCAGGCAGTGGCTGGACCTGAGGGGAAATGTATGCATAAATATTTCCTTTATATTCCAAGTAGAACAATGTTGACAGCGCTGCCTGCTGCTTTCAGGGTTTCCTACACTTGCGTTAAACCTGGACAAGATTTGACAAACCCAGTAAGTCTTCTGCCCAGTGCTCAGTTGCACCACTTTTACCAAAAAAGTTGTCTAACAGAAGTTTGCATGAAATTTAGGCTTCCTCAGAAGTGCCAGCTTCCCCTAAGGTAATTTAATGGATAAAGGAGGGTAGCCCCAACAAAAACTGAGAGCACTTCAGCTCCCAGCATTGCAGGTATGAATACACGTTAGTTATGGCTGGATAGAAACGTTTCTGAAGCATAGGCTAAACCAGAAAAGTAAACAGTTGATTTTTTAATGAAACACAGTATTTGAATACATAAAGTCTCTTAGAGGAAGAATGGAGAGAGGCTTTCTGTTGTTTTACATGAAATGCCTTGTTTTCAGGGTAGTCTGCAATGAATAAAATGTTAGAAATACATGAATATTAGTTAATTAAAGGTTTGATTTTGTGCACTGTAAAATAAATATATGTTGAAAAACAACTAAATAATTTAATTAAATGTTGTATTTGTACAGCTAAATGAAGAGAAAGTGGAAATGTCCTGATACATACAAAAGAGAAATCCACCAAACTTGACATAATATATTAATGGTCACAAAGTTTTAGGAGAACATGAAAGAGCTAATGCACTGCTGTCCTTACTTCACCTTCACTCAGTAACACTGTTAGAGATTCAGTTGTCCTCAGAGCACCTCTACCCGGAGAGCTGAATCTATTCCTTTCATGACTGGTAAAATCGAGCAAGTTGTTCCTGGACCTTGTATTAACACCAGAACTGGATTTTTTATGTTTTCTGGGTGAGCTACATTCATACTTTATGATAGTCCATGTGTTTGGTGACAGAACATGGTAGATATGTTAGAAGGGTGGGAAATACAGTTTGTCAGAAATAACTTGAGCTGGGGAAAGAGAAGGCGCAAATGCCACCTCATCCTAGTTCTTATGAGATACTCTCCTTTCATTTCTGCCATCCACTATTAATTTGATCAGAATTATCTGAAACACAATGCTATTAAAATTTATCTAAACATTACATTTGAATGTTCAAGTTTTGGTCTTCTGAGTCTTCTCATAGTAGTAATATTTCTAATTATCTCCTATTCTGCAATTTTACAATCTTTTTTTTCCTATGAAGAAGGTGTTTAATAGGTTCATGTAGACTAAAGTTATAGATGTGACATAGGTTTAAGGAATTGCAGTAGGGTGGCTCATTTACACCTTTTCTCACAGCATTAGAAGTGTATGCATTGACTCAGTGTCCCTCCACTTTTGGGATTAATACAAGCAGCATTGTGCAGCTTTCAGTCTTGTAACTTGCTACACAGACCTGGAGAACGCAACTGGCAAAGATGTGAGGTGCAATGATGAGCTTCATCGTCATCAATATTCCAGTGATGCTCAGTTTTCCATTTCCACATCAAAACCAAGCAATGCTGATCCTCTAGTAACTCTGTGCCTGGCATGGACAGAGTCCTGAGGGAAAGCAAGCTGGTTTAGGCTAAACCCTGATGAACAGACACAATGCTTCTGGCAAGAGAAACCCTCTGAAGTAGTGGCTGATGGCCACAATTGCGTCTTCTGTTAAAAGCATCTGCCAATGGGTTGCCAAGGTTATGAATAGTCCTAAACTCTTATGGGATCATTGTTGTTCTTGGGTGCAGAGACAGACATAATGACTGAAAAAAAATGTAATTCCAGGTAGTCAAGAGTCATTCAAATAATATTTGCCATATTTTGACACACCTTCTTAGGCAAAGTTAAGCTTCTCTAATACTATATGGGTAGGATGAGCTTTTTAACTATATATTTGCTCATATAGGGCTCAGTATGTACTAGATATTATACAAACAGGAACTGAAAGAAGGCCCAGATGTTTAGGTTTGGCTTAGAGTTTACTGAGAGAGAGCAAAGATAATTGTCTTTGTGTTCTTCCAATGTAGGGACATCCAGCGCATCTGCTAAAAACACATTTGCAAGCATCCCTAAAGACTAGCGTGGTAGCTGGGGGTAAGGTATGCAACAAAGTCCAAGCTATCATCTGTCTCTATGCTTTTCATTAAAAGTTATAATGAACGGGTTATATTGCAGAAAAAAGATCCACTGAGTATTCTGTTGCATCACAACAGCAGATTTAAGAATCAGGTTCACTGTCTTTATCTCCAGTACTTTTTACCTAGATTGGCGTTTTAGAGATAAACAGTGGAGGATGAACTACAGTTGCAAGTGCTATGAATAAATGATAATGTTTTATTCATTTCATATTAGTTCCACATTCTTAAAGCTTTTTAGTAACCAAATTAGTTAACACATTCCAATACCCTTAGTTCATAGACTTATGATAAGAAATGTCTTAAATGGAGAAGGACTGAAAAACAGGCTGACTGCATGCCATATTGGCTTGGACTGTGGACACAGTGTACCTAGTACTACAATGTTCAGTTTCACCACTTAGAAATGGACAAACACTGTTCTTAACAAAAAAACACTCTGCCTTCAAATAAGGCCTTGCTTATTTCCAAGATAAAAACTCAAAAAGAGATAAAATTAGCTTAAAATATTGAATACAACTCTCCCATGACTTCCCAGATTCAGTCCTTCTGTTTGATTTACAAAGAAATATTGTCTTCGATGAGATAAATTCCTTAGGCAAAAACTCTGCAATATCTTTAGTGGATTTTACTTCATGTTTAAGACTAGCCTATTTACATGCATTTTTTTTATCATAACAAAGACATAACCCTATTAAACGGGTAGAGCACAAACACTTCCCATTTTTAGTTCTCCCAAACTATTCTGGATAAAACCAGGTGAGGTTAACTCCATTTTTTTCCTACTATCTCTGAGGAGACATGAAGTCTTACATCATTTTAATGTGTACCATATGGTTGCTTCAGAGTCTGTGGAGCATACTTCCAGTTTTAAGAGGCCTCAGGGGAGTGGTAGTTGCCTTTGAATGCCTGCTTATTGCTCAAGGAACAATGTCCTAACATCAGCAAGAATAAAAGACGTTAAGGGGGTAGTTAGTTTACAGCTAGGTGGACTTTACAGAGGATTAGAGGGCGTCAGAAACACGGTAAGAGAGAAGTGAAAAAACTTGCTTGTATATTATATTTATAAATACGAAAAAGGTATAAAAATTGATGTGAAAGCCTAGAAAAATCTAAAAGGATTCAGCACAGTGGGTTGAGCGAGATGACATGTCATTTTACCACATTTTCAAACAAAGGTCTGCATTCTCAATTACAATGTCAGTATTTTTCCTTGATTTTGTTTTCTGACAGCACCCTGCTTTTGCCTCGCAAAGAGAAGGACAGTCTGCTTTACAGAATCTGCAGGGAGTCAGCGAGAGTGGGAAGCCTTTCCTTTTCCAAGCACAGACAACTGTCAATATCTAACGAGGCACCTGCTCCTATCTCACGGTTTCTATAAAACCCCCATTTTGCATGAGCTGACAGCTCGTGGTATGAAAGGCAGCAGTTTCCTCACATTCAAGAGCTCAGCAGGAGTCTGACAAGGTAGGATACTACCATTAGCTGATCACCAGTCAGTAAGTGCCGGGGATGCTGCTTCACACAAAGAGCCCAACATTGTCTTTTTGCAAGATAGCAGATCTTGAGCTGGCAGGAGCTCGGTGGTGTACTCCCACCTCCCACATTACCTGAGTCATTAGAATTGCTGAAGATTTCGTAGCAAGGCAAACGTATATGGATGTGTGTGTGTGTGTGTGTATAGGTATATCTATATATGGATCTATGCTTCAGGATGTGTTGTAGTAATTGCTTTCAAATCCACCTGATTTATATCAGACACGCTGGTTGTAATCTATGTGGTCTTGTCTGACCACTTCCTTTTTTCCCAAAATCACATCTGAGTTAACAGGCATTTATTTGCAAGGGGGAACTCAAAGAAGCAGCCAGTGGCTTGCTTGCTTTTTTTTGTCGGTGGAGAGTTCTATCAAGGCTGGACTCCTCGTATTTCTGAGACAGTGAAGGGAAATACCTGATTTTCGATTAATTTTGTATCTTCCTAATGTAATTAAAAGACAAGCTACCTGATGCACAATAATGGGCAACTTACCAAATGTAAATACTGTATTAGGTCCACATTTGCAGCTGAAATAAAGGTTTTCTACTTTGCCGTGCCACATTCATTTCTTTCTTCTATCCCTCTGGAAGTCTCCAATTTTGTCTTGACATTTCTGCATTTCAAATTTACTAACCCTTTCTAGCTGTGCAATCCCATTTTGATGATCTGATTTTATGGAAACAGTAGTTATACGTTCCTTATTCAGGAAATATCCTCTTTGCTTAGATAGCATGTAGTATGTATTAATAGAATGTTTTAAATGATTACATGTGTTTATTGGTAGGAGCTGTAACTTTGTAATAGAATTTTTGCTGATATAGTTTTATTTAAAAATAGGAGAGTTAATTCTGAACTTTAGTAAAACATTGAGTGAATAGACTACAGAGATTGATAATCATGGTAGCATTCTAATGACTGTAATCTTTCCACTATATGCCTCAAATGCATGGGAATTACACATGTAACACAATATAGTATATTACTGACATACATGTTGATTATGTTAATATAGATCTTAATCATTTAATTTTATTGATCTTTCAATTGCTAATTCTCTCTCCTTCTTTCTCACACTGTATCATTCTTAGTTCTAATCCTTACAGCATTTGAGACATACACAGAATGAAATCAAAATTATGTGTCTATACAAATCTCCTCAAATAGAATACACTCTTTATTTATTTGAGGGCAAAGAGTTTCTGGAAGGTTTTTTGATGAAGAGCCAGACATTCCCTCTGAAAAACAAATATTGTCTATTTTTGTAGGAAATTCCAAAACAGCAGCTAAAGCCCTGGGACACCTCTTCTTTTACTGAACAGCCAAGAACTGCCATATATAATTCATGACCCCTTAATTGGCCTCAGTGAGCAAGGAGGGATCACACAGGGAACTATCACTCTTAAATATATCACCTGTTTAAGTAACTGACCTTTGAAATGTAGTTGAAAGGGAAAAACACATTTCCCCCTTCCTCCTGTGACTGAAATTTCTGGAGCAAATGATGCCTGAGCAGTTTGGCAGGACTAATTAGGGACAGTGTAAAAGAATATGACAAATTACTAATCCGACTTCTAGTAGCACTACATAGTATACCTGATCACGCTATGATATGTTGCCCTTGAGGACCTTGATCTTGCCTGAGACTTCATATAGAGAGCAAAAGATGTAATCATACTTTGAAAAGGAAACAGAGTGATTGCTTATGCAAAAAAAGCTTGTAAAATTTACTACTTTGACAAGTCTAGAAGCTGTGGTATATTTAGTAGCAATAGTGATATGGTCTTCAGACTCCTCTGAAAGCACAGTGGGAAGTGACATCAATCATTCTTCCTACTTCTTCCCACTCTCTCAGCTGACTCCAAAACATGCATCTAATCTTATTACAACATAATTAATCCTGGCCTCTTTTCTACTTGACATCCTCTGACTCCCAGGAACACGTATTAAGATGCATCAGAGCACAATATTTTGACTGCCAAAGAGATCACACAAATCTTCGTCTGGTCTACATATGAGCAAATCTATAGGATAAAGCATGTGTGAGGTGTTGTTTATCATAAATAAAATAAAAAGGATCATCTTTTTTTATTACTGAAACTCCTTCTATCTCAGGTGGCAGATCTATACATATATAACAGGCAAGTAAAAAGCTTGTATCCAAAAGAAAAGATGGTGAAATAATTAGGCAGTGATTATTAATTTTGAATCATTTAAGCAAATGGATCAGAGAAAAAGCACGAAATGCGAATCTAAGCTTGCCCAAAAAGATTATTTTGAAACTTTTCTACACTGCCACAATTTTTCTCAGTTAGTCTTTTGGACATACAGCTCTTTTGCATTCCTGGCATCATAGTGGCCCCTTTCCAACAGAATGACTGGAGTCTTACCAGATATTCCCTGTTGATGAGAAGACTACTCAAGGAATAAAAATATGCAGGTTTTAATCCTATAAAGACTACTAGAAGAAGCATAGATACTATCGGCTGCTTTATTTCTGGCTGGTATTTCTGAGCATACTCAATCAATCAGGTACTTCAAAGACCTAGAAAGGAGAGCCCTTACTTTTTGTTTCGTAAACACACAGGATATATTGGTTCAGCTATTTCTATCCATTTCAGAAAGACGTTATGTTTCCAGAAAAGCAATATTTTAAGCATATGAAGAACTTTTCACCAGAAATTTTCTCAGATGTCAAAACAAACCACAGAGGTTTTTTGCCTCACTTAAAATCTTCCTGAATTGAAATGTGTGTGTTCAAATAATTTTAAGCGCTCAAATGTTCTTAAACACTTAAGATTACTTTCTGTATTCACAGAAATTAGATAATTGTGGATGTTTAGACTGGTGACCAGGATCCATTGATAAGTCTGAGAAAGTAGTTCTGACTGGGAAACCATCATAGACTTGTAGGATATCTTTTTAATATATATGTATATAAAAAATTGCATATTTTGAAGTCTTATTTTCTTATTTTGAAGACCATTTAAAATTCACATTTACATATTTATTTATCTGTAATCTCTATTTCAGGTCTTTTTTTTGCATTTAATATATCCTTTCCAAGATAAAGAAAGCAAAGAATTTCTACTCATTGTGTCAGCCATAGGCCACAGATTCCTGTGATGTGGATCCTCTGAGTAAAATTTATTCTCTTAATTGCCCTGTTTTCTTTTGATTTAACATTTAGTATATACCTTGATGGTGATTTCACAATGCCTCAAACAATGTCAAAGCACTTGCTAAGCTGAATTGTGAATGTTATGCAAAGCCCATATTAGCCCCTATTAAAATTCAGCCATTATCAGCAGTATTTGGCCAATTTCATATTTCTCATCAAGCTTTAATTTATCCAGAAAGAATAGTCTGCGATGCACTCATTCAGTACATTGCAAGATGAATTGAATCGCCTTTTATATCTTCAGAAGGGAAGAAACAAAATGTAATATAGCAGGCGTACTACTTTAGTAATCTAGAGCTGGTTGCCATATAAAAATACAAAAGTGATTAAAATACATATTTAAATTCCACAGATGACTCAGATATTTTAAATGGAAATAAAGGATAACTTTTCATACAAATAAAATGTTATGGGAGAGGTCCCACTTAGGAAAGGTGCTGGCTATTTGTAATGAAATGCTGAGAAACCTCACTCCCTCCCCTCAGATTCAGTACGGACTGAAGGCACTCTGCACTTCGAAGGAGCAAGCCGAAAGCAATTACTTAATATGAAATTTGTCCAGGTGCCTACCAGAGATGATGGTGAGAGGGAAGATTTATTTTTATAGTGTGAAGAGTGTGCTTTATGCACAGGCAGAACCAAGAAAAATGTTTGCCCTGAAGATCTCACAGGCTACTTACTTGCATCTTCTGTGTAAGCCCCAAGGAGCAAAAACCTTTGAACGCTAGGGAAGAGTAAGAAAATATATAAACTATGTCATCAAAAAGGTCAGGAACAGGAGTTTGTATTACAAATACTAGAAACCCTTGTGCTCCAGCCTGGGAAAGAGAATTGAATGTAGGAGGAAAGAGATATAGAACCTGGTATAAATCACAGAAAAGTAAATAAAAATCTCTCCTTGCCTTCCTTGAGCTTTGCACAAGGGCTATAGTTACCTGCATAATCGGAGTATTACTCTTTTTGTTAGTCTCTCTGTCCTCCATGGAACTGGAAGCAGTTCCACATTTATCAGTAGACAACTTCAAGCTCTCTTGTTTGATCGTTACTTTTCTCAGTGCCCTGGAGATTAAAATGAACATTTATCTTATCTTTGTGTACAAAGTAACATTTGGCACCCTTCTGTCCCTTCCAGAAGAAAGGAGAATCCTGGAGACAGAAGACTATATAAGCTTTCATGCAAATGATATTCACCTGCATTGCTAAAAACTAGAAAGTCAGCTTCAACATTTCTGAGCTCATATAGAAATAGCTTCACATTCTGGTCTTGTTAAGAAAGGTTAGTGCCTGTAAAACTACTTGAGGATTTTACTTTGCTCTAGAGAGCTTTAGAAAAAATTTCACACCTACTTCTGCATTTTAACATCTTAAGTGCTCTTTCCTTTCTACAAATTAAGAATTTTAACCAAAAGATCCTAGAAATTGCAAAAAAAAAAATACCTCAGTAGTATTGCAGACTTTATTTTAAAAAACGATGTAATATCTATAGTTACCTTCAATTTTTGGACTGAGTAAAAGGTATCCAACATTTTACAAGCCGGCTCCATTGTAGCTTACTACTGCCATATTTCTTGGGAAGAAGAAGCTGAGATAACACACATTTTAAAATGGATACAATTCTGATGAAAATATTCTGAATAGTTAGACAGAGGATGACTCAGTTTTCCCCTTTTGATCTGAAGTGAGGAAACTTAAAAAGTTTTCTAGCTGTCAGTTTTCTCCTAGATAAAACCTTGACAGCTGAGTTTTGTACAAAGATGATATCTTTGTAACGACCTCATAAGATCAGTACTTTTTTTGGTGGAGTGAGGGAATTGAAAAAGTGTGTGAAACTTAAAACTAAAACTCAAGGAGGAATATTTTGTATCTAGGTTTACATTATCCTTCCATTAAATAGTGCTCTGAACAAAGAGAAAGGCTAGTGTTTAATTCCAATCTTAAGACATGAGAAGTATTTTATAGTATCAGCCTGCTGAGCTTATGACATAGAGTCTTTCATCTCTTTTTTGTTTGTTTAAACCTCTCAGAATTGAAGAACTGACATTCATCAACTTTATGTTTTAGATCAGAAGAAAAGTAACAGAAAATTGTTGATGCCACAAGCCTTGAATATTTTATCATGCTACCAGGCAGTGCTCATGTGTTCATAATGATGGTAAGGCATTACCGATCAGTTAAGTAGAAGGAAAGAGATTCTCAAACCATAAGACCTTTCCTACAGGAGAGATTTAACATCATTATTTTTGAAATATGACCTTCCCAGCAGCATTTGTAATTATACTTCCAAATTAGAACTAATGTACTCTCAGAACCAGTCTCTCTATTACTGAGTGCATCAACTTCTTTCCACAGAAAAAGTGAGCTTTCAAAATAACGTTGGAAACTGTATACTACAGAGAAATATAGATATTCTTGTTTCCTAAATAATAATAAGTATCTTCTACTTTGTGAAGGAATAGCAATGAATATTAAATACAAATCCATCTTGCTGACAGACTCGAAAATAAGATGTACAATCTGATAACAATAAAATACACTAATATTAGGAACATTTTTTACTCTTCTTATTTCCGTATATTAGTATAATAAACAGTGAAATGAAAATATCTGTATTGTTCACAAGCTAGCAGACATCTCAAGTTATTTGTTGCCAAATCCTTTTTTGCAGATAACGTAGCTTGTTTAGCATTACTTTTGTAGTATATGGCTGAATCCTGAATGCTAAGTTAATTGAGACCTTATGGTCACAAAAGGATGGACAACACACTAAAAAGACAGCAAGATATTCTAGAGATCATTACTGAATGTCCTGTCTCCTGTAATAGTGGATCAAGGACTTCACAGTAGAAGAAAATCAGTTCAGGCTGATAAAAAAACATCTATTTTGTGACATTGAAATGATGGACGACTGCAGTGCAAGAGAGTAGGCATTCGTGCAAGAGAGTAGGCATTCCTGAGAGGAGCAAAAATAACTTTCCATCTCCTTAAATATTTATTTGATATTATAAGAGATCATCGGAATCTAAATTTCTTTAAGAAAGAAAACATCTCTAAGTTTTCTCAAATGTTTAAACGATTAGAAGAAGAGTTAAAACTGTCTAAATTGCTTTCAGACAGAGAGGAGAGATAAGAGATTTCACCTTCTTTCTCTATGGCTGATCTGATGCTCAGGTCCCAAAAAGAATAGCTCACCTGAGTGCCTGGTACAGGTATTTCACACCTAAAGGCACCCATCTAACTTCTAGAGCACGTATGATACAACTGTGATCCATGAAACTACAAAACTCGTCTGGAAAAGTTAACCAGGCAGCCAGACAATAAAAGTCTAATTCTGCCATACATATGCATGCACTTGAAGTCACATGCAGTAGACACAATCACATTGTGAACAAATGCACATACACCTTTCACATGTGACTCCCTCTCCCTCCACCCACACTCAGAGTCATTGACTGGAAAGCGAAATAATCTGGGAAGGAGAACTCAAAGCCTCTCCCTCTAACTGTGCCTTAACTGATAGGAATATAGGCCAGTATACCTGATCTCTTGCTCTCATTTTGATCCTGTTATTCTTATATTAGCAACTCTAGCAGTATTCACTACAGAAAAAAAGGCAGGAGACTATTCCGTGCAGAAGAGTCTGGCACACAAGACTAATCGCAACTGCCAATCTGCTTTCTGGGAGGATGGCAACAAATGACGCAGAGACAGAACCAAGCTGCCCATCTTCCCAGGAAAACGTTCCTACCACATCCAGAGTCACACAGCAGTATTTCCTCTTTCTTTTGTGTTGACAGTCAATGCAGTGGCTGTGTGCTGAGCTCACTGCTGCCTGTTGTGGGTACATCTACATTAGAGTTTTAGTTGCCATGAAGATTATTTTTGGAACAGATCTCCTAATTGCCCCCACTTAATGAGCTTTGTTTCATACTGTAGAAATGAGTTCCCTGGGAAATGAAACAAGAAGACATGCTCCAGAAGAATATCTAACGCGGTCCAGTTGCTGCTACACATTCAGTTCAGTGGGAGCAGATAAGAACTAGTCCAAGGTAAAGTATTTGAAAACTGTGTAGTGTGGACACACTCAGGTCCTCAGCACCAACTGTTTTACTCTGCAAGGGCTACTCCTGCTGCACCACACTGCTCGCTAGTGTAGACATATCCTAGGTGTTTTGGGCAAAGTCAGAGCAAGTCCAATTAATGTGGCTGTTTCAGAGATCTAGAAGACGCTGAGGTACTTTTTTAGGGTCTGAGTCATGACAGAGCTCAAACAGCAGCTGGGTACCCCTCTGCCCCAACTGGGTAACTTTCACATATGCACAAATTCTTAAGCATAGGTGGTTAAGGGATTCTGAGTGGTTACCGTTCAGTCGTTAGCCTGATTGCATCTGTACTAGCAAGTAAAGCAGGATAACAACATGGCACTGGTACACAGTCATCTGTACTACTTAATTTTTACCATACTCTAACTTTTTGGTCTGTGCCAGTTTAACAAACTGCTAGACAATGGCCAGACACAGTTCAGGGGAGAGCACAGGCCAGGAACATTTCCCAAAGTTGCTGAAGGGGCAGGGGGGAATTTCTGAGGGAAAAGAGTTTACCTCCACATAAGAAGTGTTAAAGGGATACAGTTTTCTTTCTCACGTAACAGTGTTGTGATGCGCAACAATTCCAGCCCACATTAAGTTGTGCTACTCTAGGGTATAAGGCTGTTAGAGACTGTAAAAAATTAACTGGTTATCTATTGAGAAATGTTGATGGTACTAAATGCTCAGCAACAAGAACAATGGAATCTAAATTAGCTTCCCAGTGCCATTCATCTTAGCACTGATACTCCAAGCATTCCAGAAAAACATATAAAGTATAATAAATCTAATGTTTAGTTCATTGCATTTATCTGGCCTTTGTGGAAGACATTTAATAGGGACATTGTTAGGCCCAGGGGGTACAATTTTTAAATGCATAGCTTTTCTGGGACAAAGAACTCAAGTGTTCTGGAAGTGCACTTTGTCCTCCACAGCATGTTTTTGAAAAAAGTGGGCTCACCACATCTACAGTCACTATATGTAAAACTAGTTCATTTAACATGATCCCAGTAGTATAGCCCTGAAAGGAGACTCACTTTCCTTTCAAGCATTATTTACTGTTGCTTTTCAAAACAAACCACAAACCCTTTGAGCTAAAATTTATCACGCTCATTTTCAACTTAAAGGTGAATTTTTTGAAAGTGTAAGAAAATATGAGCTAGCTACTTTGAGTTGTCAAAGCATGAAAATGTGTTTTTCACACTTAAATATGATTGCTCAGTTTTTTTTTTACACTCTGATGATTCAAAAATTGTTTAATTTTAAAACTGGGCATACAGCATGTACAGTCAACTATAACAAATGTATGCTTTGAAAAACAGAGTAAGAAATTTAAAAGAAATAAATTTAGATATAAATAATAATTGATATAAGAACAGTAGTCAGTGCCTAATTTGCTACTATTTTTCTCCTTCTGCATGGTGGGAATGATCCCTCTAAAATCTTCATAATTGTAAAACGGTATATTGGTTCAATTTTACTGTTGATCATGCACATATTTGGAAGTAAAGGAAGCAGAACAAGTGCATCTGTTATTTTGTCTGTGCCAAAATGTAATAACATTGACATATAAACCAAGAGAAAACTGTATGTATGTGCCAATAAACTAAGTACCTTTCAGTACTTTGTCTTATGTATATAATTTTATGTTGAAGTATTTGATTTTGTTCTGGGGATACTAGACTTTATCAATCACTTTAATTAAGAAATATCTCACAACAAGTAAACATTTATTTTGAAAAATGGGCTTGTTATGTAAATTATGCAACTGATTTAATGTTTGGACTTGATTGTAATCAATAGGTCAAGTTTTAGTAAAGGGAGTGGTCACTAGCAAATAATAACATCTAAAGTCACTGTGAAATACTTTGAACAACCTAAGGACAAATCTATACCATGCAGTAGGCCACTCTCTCGGAAGCATGCTGAACCAAGCTGGAGCGTCTGTCTGGCATCAGATAGCAGTATGAGATATCAGCACAGAGCCTAGAAGCTAAACTGGCTGCAGCACCTGTGCTTGAGCCTCACCTAAGAAGAGGACAGCACTTGATTGTAGCATTATGTTCCCACATGTTATGCTGATTGCTGCAATGGTGGTAGTGTCATTGCTGCCCACTGGGAATGAAGGTGATGGGGGAACAGGCCCTGTACCACACTCCATTGTATAGATAAAACAGTTGATTGAAAGACAGAAAACAGAGGATGGGAGTAAAAGGTTACTTGTTACAGTGGAGGAAAATCACCAGAAGAGTTCTAAAGCTTTTTAAATAAATAAGCAAATATATATACACCACACTACACACACATACACATATATAACGCCTGGAAAAGTGAGTAAAGAGTGGAAAATCTGCTCACTGTATAAAGTTATTCAAGGAGTAAGGACAGGGTCAGATTGTGAAGAACTGCAAAAGGACCTTAAAAGACTGACTGACAGCCAATAAAAAGGAAGATGAAGTTCACCGTAGATTAATGTGAAATATTGTACACATAGAGAAACTATTTTAGCTTCACATATTAAAAAGCTGGGCTTGGAGATGACCATTGCTACTAGGAAGCAAGACAGGCAGCTTCACGAAAACATCAGATAGAGCTTGGCAGAAGTCAAAAGAAAACAAGTGAAGGGTGAAGAAGTATTAGAAAATAAATAAAATACATAAACCACAGCATCATGCCACTGTGTAAACTCAAGGTCAGCCCATATCCTGTGGAGTTCTTGTCCCCTCAACCCAGAAAAGGACACAGAAGAACTGGGAGAGTTTCAAAGGGCGACAATAGCTAACTTAAGAGTGTATTGTACAAGTTTGCAAAACCATGAGCGGATTTAAGAGCATGGACAAGAATCAGCTGTTCTTGATTTCTTGCCATATAGATTTTAGAAACATTGAATGAAGCGTCGGAACATTGTAGAAGATAGAAAATCGACTAGATAGATCCTTGATAAGCCATCCTGTATTATATTTTAATGTTCTTACCAAACAGCACGAAGCCACTTTAATTTTACCTAGATTACCTAATTGTCATCAACATAAACAACGTAACTAGT